TTGACTTTGGAAAAGGTGTACGAACCCTGTAATATCACGATATATTTGGACTATATCGCGTTGTGATTGGCCTGCCAGATTTAGGGCCTGGGGCATTGATCGAGGCTAGACCAACTCGCAGGCAAAAATTATTTTTATTTCTAGCGCGTGGGGATAGCTTACTAGGCTAGATGCAAACAGCAACTTTTAAACAGAGCCTGCATGAGAAGAAATGGGCTCCTGCGCGCCCTCACACACGTTTAATAGGTGTTCCCTCTTGGGAGCGGGTACAGGGTTGTGTATGTGTTTTTTTTCAAAGTGGAGAGGGCGGGTCTTTGCAAACTTTTGCTAAAATCCTCCACCGTACCTTTAACTTTTAGGGTAAATCAGGATTGGGTCAAATTGTTGGTGGCAATGTGATGGACAAACCTATGGCCACACCTTAAGTCTGGATTATACATGCACCTTTATTTATTTAATCCATTCACCTACTTTAGTTTGCAATAAAACTTTATTCTCAATTTAAATGAATGTGTTCTATTTGTAAGCGCACACATTTAGTTCATTCATATCTCTTTCTGTTTTGTCACTGTTTCTTACCTATGGTGCCTCGGAGTTTAGCCAGACAAAGATGGCAGCCAGGGTTCAGATCTGCTAAATGCAGGAGGGGGAAATTGGACTGTTCCATCAGGTGTAGCTTAAAGGGGGGGGATTTGAATTTTCCTTTTCTAATTTTTTTTTTTGCATCTTTCACTGAGGATTTGTTCGCAGTTGGTGTGTTTTCATTTTGCTAAGATATAGATTTGTTTTTTGCCAAACCTAACTGTACTGCCAATGTTTGTCATTTGTGATTGTTTAGTTTGAATTACCCCTATTGTGTTAATGGTCTCATCAGCCTTGTGTATATGCAGGTAAAAGCCAGTAAATTAGAATATTTTGAAAAACTTGATTTATTTCAGTAATTGCATTCAAAAGGTGTAACTTGTACATTATATTTATTCATTGCACACAGTTCATTCAAATGTTTATTTCATTTATTTTTGATGATTTGAAGCGGCAACAAATGAAAATCCAAAACTCTGTGTGTCACAAAATTAGAATATTACTTAAGGCTAATACAAAAAAGGGATTTTTAGAAATGTTGGCCAACTGAAAAGAATGAAAATGAAAAATATGAGCATGTACAATATAGGGGTGTAAATCACATCCATCATGGCGATTCGATTCAGTATCGATTTCCTGACCCAACGATTCGTTTATTTTCGATACTCAAGAATACACCATGATTCGATTCGATTCGATTC